AGATAAAAGTATTTCTATTTTTTCTGTTTAATAATAGACTGCTTACTAAAAGCCACTTAAGGAAAATATGACTTAATATTGATGGCTCTTGTAGTTTTTGTGGGTTGAGGAAGATACTGTACATATTTTTAAAGTTTGTGATCACACAAAGCAAGTTTGGTCAAATTTAACGCTCCTTTGGAAGGGCTAAAGGAAAATGAAAATCTAAGGGACTGGTGGAATAATGTGAATTAAAGAAGAAAGCAAAACTCCTTTCATTAAGGAAAAATTAGCCTTTGTTTTATGGGTGGACTAGAAAAATAGGAATTTCAAAACTTTTAATGATGGTACTACTCCCATTCCAATACTATTAGATAAAGCTCTAAATAAGTTTACAGAAATTCTTGATGGGAATAAATTCAGTACCTCTACCACATCTCACAAGTGGTGGAATTAAATTAGTTAGAATGCTCCAAAATATGGTTTTATCAAAATAAATTTTGATGCCTCTCGCAATAGTGATGGAAAATGTTCGGTGGCCTATATAGCCTGGGACCATCTTGGTAAGGTGCTAGCGTTCAAAGCATATAAGATTGGTACTTGTTTCATTAACCAGGCTGAAGCTTGGGTTGCATGGGAAGCCCATTTCCAAGCTACAAATTATACGGAGTTTCCTATCATCATAGAAGGAGATTAATCTCTTGTCATCTCCACCCTCAAACGAAAGGTGGATGTTCCTTGGAATCTGGAAGGTACTATCTCGAGATACTTACGGAAGAGAGATATGTTCGAAGGAGATCTTTAGTATCAACATGTCTACAGAGAAGCAAATCAAATAGCTGACTAGCTGACTAACTGGCTCGGGAGGCTCTTTCTTCTTCTTCTTCTTCTTCTTCTTCTTCTTTAGATTTTAGCATCTAATCTCTTCCCCCTTCTCTTCTTCTTATTTGTTCTACTAACTTTTGGGGACATACTACCCCCATTTTGTGTAGTACATTTTTGTTTATTTTCAAAAAAAAAAAACACGCCACATCATGGCCTGAGCTTTCTCCCTTACCCCAACTGAGAACACTCAAACACTCTTCATTTATGCCTTTCTTGCTCCCTCATGAAGCCACCTCATTACTCCCTTCTCCCTCTGTCATAATTAATTATTTAGTTTATTTTATTAATTATCAATAGTAATTAACATTGTTTTATGATTTCTTTAATTATTTAATTAAAAATATTAGCAATACATTATTTAATAGTATTTATTAATTAATTATGGTATTTATTTAATTAAATGCCATAATTAATAAAAAATATTGTTACAAAAATATATATAATATTGTTAATAATTAAATAAATACCATAATTAATAAAAATATTGTTAATTAATGAATTACTAATTAATTATATCAAAATACCATAATTAATTATGGTATTTATTTATTTATTTATTTTAAGTATTTTGGTAATTCTAGTAAGCTTGGGGGGTATTTTAGTCAAATCATGTTCAATGATGCCAAAACAAAATTCTAATTTAATGGTGGATATTTTGGGTTAAAAAAATGAAGGGTGAAGATGGATTTAAGTATATATAGTGTTTTTGCATGTATGGACCAATGAGATTGGCCAAAATGGAATCTTTTATGGGTTAAGTACTCTACAACCCAATGTAGAATTCTGAATGACAACCCCCCATAGTCTACTAGTATCCCCCCTATAAACTACATCCTGCCCGTAAAATTGGCATTAATTCACGATCAGAATTCATCACCCCTGTACGTTAGGGCTACAAAATTCTGACCTGGACTAATCAGTCATTCTTCCTCTTTTTATATGGAGGGCAAACAAGGGTATCTTTTTATCGAAATTTTACAAGGTGGAGTTTTTAGGCATTTTGAATCAATTGGTGAGGTCAGATTGGCCTAAATAGGCTCAAATTAGGCAGATCTAGAGGATCAGTGATTTGGTTAATTTATTAACTTTGAAACAGAATCTTGGTGTGATGGAAGGAAAAATGGGGCAATTTTTTGTTGAAATTTGGCAAGGTGGTGTTTTTGAGCATTATGGGTTGATTGGTAGGGTTAGATTGGCCCAAGCATGCTGAGATCGGGCAGATTCGGAAATGACTTGGTCTAGTCAATATGAAGCTCTAAAATAGAATCTTGGTGTAATTAGGGGGAAAACAAAGGTATTTTGGGCTGAATTTTTGTGGGTAGGGTTTTTAGGGTGTCTATGATCATATGGAAACATCTAATTGATTTTAGAGGGCCAAAATCATGGAAATTTGGGTCAATGAGAGTATCCTAAATAGAATATTTGTTCGATGATAGGGCAAACGGGGGATTTTAAGTTGGTTAAAAATTTATGGGTAGATGTAGGGGTGCAACTTGGGCAGGTCCAACTCGAGCCCGAACTGGTCCAGCCTGAAATTTTAGACAGGCTGGGCTTGGACTTTTAGTCATCAGGCTAGGCTCAAGCCTAAGTAATCAGGCTTCTCTATTTTCGAGCCTAGCCCTTAAGTAGCCCAAACCTGGCCTAAGCCTGGCCTAACTATACACATATATATGTGTGTGTGTGTGTGTGTGTATGTGTGTGTATATATATGTATATATGTATATATGTATGTATGTATGTATGTATGCATGTATAATTTTAGAATGGGTTCATTAACCAACCTGAGGCTGGCTCGGGCCCAAGCCTAACTCGAGTTCATCAAATTACAATGTGGGTTGGACTCGGGTTGGGAAAATCGGGCTTGACCTTGGGTCCGGTCCGGGCTTGGGCCTTAAGTCCAAATTTTAGGGCTGGGCCTAGGTGATCATAAGCCCAGCCCAACCCGCCCAACTTGCATCCCTAGGTAGATGTTTTTGGTGTGTCTAGGGTTCAATTATGTGGTCTAATTGATCTAGAGGTGTTAGGATCAAAGAGATATGGGTTGTAGGTGCTCTAAGCTAACAAGAGGGTTTGAATGGAAATCTTGGTTTGATAAAAGAAAAAATGGAGGGGAATCTTGGGTTGAAGTTTCAGGGGTAGATAAATTAGGAGGTCCTAGGTTTGATGATGGTATTCAGGGATTTTTAGGTACTTTGGAAGGATTAAAATGGTCTGATCGGGTTTTTGGGGTAAATTGGGGTTTCAATGGTGAAATGAGCAAAAATCAGGTGCTAACAATGGGTTTTCTAAAGGTATTGATCTCTTGGATCATTTGGTGAGGTTTGATTGGTCCATAAATGGTATGATCAAGGGTATTTAAGAAACGAATATCTTGAACAATAAGATAGCCCAAATTAAAATCTTAGTGTGATGAAGGGTTAAATAGGGGATACCTGTGATGAAATTTTGTGGTATGGTGTTTATAAGTTTCTAGGGCTCTTTAAAATCCCATTAACTCTAATTTGCAATTCGGTTAAAAAATCATGAGCATCACATGGGTTCTAACTAGTTGATTGCTAATGGTCAATGACCTCATTTATCACTTCAAAACCATCAATTGTCACTTAAGTTATTGTCTTTTTTCTCTTTGAAAAAGGAAGCTCTGCTAGGTCCAAAATGCTATGTTTTACACCCAAATCAACATATTTGCATTGCTTTAAATTCATTCAAATGCCCAAAGACAATTGGTCATATTAGATAGCTCAAATAACTGGCTTTTAATAAGTTTTCCATAGTAGAAACTAAAAACTAATTTTCTATGTGTGAGAGACCAGTATGAGTTTCATGCCAAATAATAAATTTCAAGCTCATCTCTTAACATACAAAAGATATTAATGAAACCAAAATAAGAGGAGTTTGGTGACTTACTCTAGCCATGATCACTTGAACATGACTCCTCTTTTCCTCAGTCTAGAGGATTCTTCGAGTCTATCTAGCTTCCTTATTATCTCTGTTTGTCAATGATGACCACACAAATCTTTTTCTCAGTCTAGAGGATTAGGGCCCATTTGGCACGTCTTTTTGGGAAGATCTTCTAGTAGCTTTGGCATGCAAAAGATGCATTGAGCTTTTGCATGAAGATCTGAGAAGTCCAAAGCATGTTTCGCAAATACACGTCTTTCCACATCTTTCCACACGAGAATAAAATGCGAAAGACACAGAAAACTTCATTTGAAGCTTTCCGAAATCAGCCCAAAGTGGGCTTCTCGCATCTTTTCAATGCTCCATCTTTTGGTGGCTAGATCTTCTGTGAGCCAAACGGGAATAGACCAAAAATCAGTCTGCCCGACTTATAAACAGCCAAAAGGTAGCGCGAAAAGACACACCAAATGGACCCTTAATCTCTGAGTCTATCTAGCTTCCTTAGTCTCTCTGTTTGTCAATGATGATCACACAAATAGAGAATTTCATGGTCTGTTAGACTAGGGATCCTCTTTGTTTTTCTCCGTTTATGTCTTTTCTCCCATTAAGTAAAACATCACATGTAGTTGTGAAGTTAATGGAACCTTCTCCAAAAATAACCACCTATTTAACCAACTAGTGTTTCTTTGTTGAAGAGAAAAAATCCAACAAATTTAGCTTCAACTTCCAAAGCTCATTATAAGCAAAGTTCATGGAAAGTACTCCCATGCCATCATGTATCTACATCACCACCTTCCTAGCTCCTATACAACAATGAAACACATTGACCTTCATGGAAAGTACTCTCATCTCTTCATATACACCTCATCGAGGACTTATATTTAGTGTTGTTGATGTATTTTTCTGATTTATTAAAACATTTATAGTATTTCTAAGTATATCTATGTGTATCTTAGTTTTTCTCTGATAGGCATGCATGTTTTGACACGTATCTTAAAATTGCCTTTCCGATACACTTAACATTTCCGATACTTTGAACCTTGGTCCCAATCTCATGATGACAAATACGAGAGATTTTCCCAATGCGAGTCTGAATCTGCTCCTCACATAGTGCGCCTCATACCAACCTCATAGTATGTTTTTTCCGTACATCAAGAACATCTCCCATATTTATATTTACTCGTGGAGAGATATTTCTGATACAAAATGGGATGTCGCTGTGAGGTTGATGTGAGGCGCTCTGTGTGAAGAGAAGATCTCAATTCTCCCAATGCACGCTGCGGCTGAGATGTACTTGGCGCGCATATGTTAACTCCTATTTTACGTCTTGGTAGTTATCAAAGGGGAGATCTGTTGAATCTGGTAGAAATAGATCCGTTGGAATTGAAGTACCAAACAGCTCCCTCCACTCTCTCTCGCTCGCTCGCTGGCTCGCTGAAATCTGAATGCAAAGAGATGGCCACTCCTAAACCGGGAAAGAAACATCAATATCAGCTTCACCGCCACGGTGGATGGTGGAACCGGGCTAGGAGATTTTCTAACCAGAAACTCTTTCCTTTGCTTCTGATCCTGGCCTTCTTAGCTATAACCCCTCCAATATTTTTACATTTCAGACTCAGGCGATTTCAACAGGTTTAATTCCTCCTCCTCCCTTTTGATCACAGAATTTGTTTCTCTGTGGGTTGGTGAAAAGGGTTAGTATTATTTTCTATGCAGATGCAACTGAGGAAGTGTGGTTGGTTGAGGGAACCTCCCCTTGTATGTGCTCATGGCGGTGATTCATCCAAGGCCTTTCCCAATACAGTACGTCTATGTTTTGTTTCTTGGTTATTGCTTGTTCGATCAATGACTGCTGTTATTTTTTCTTTTATTTTATTTTATTTTCTTTTTGAGTTGATTATCGCCTCTAGGTTTAGGCCATTTCTCCTGTGTGTTGTGTTATTTATATGTAGACAACTCTTTGACGGGTACAATTTGATCTGTGTTCTATTCCCTTAGAACACAAAACTGTGGATCCAAGCTGGGGCCGGTGGTAGGAATTTTATCTTGTGGAAGGGTCCGAAGGGAGACCTCAAATTCCACAAAAAAAAAAAAAAAAAAAGATGAAGAGAAAAGAGCATTGATATCCATACAAGTTAAATAGCAAGTACTAAAGTGACTTCTCAAAGAGTTCTGAAGTGGTTTCAAACTTTGGCTGCTTGATGAGAATTGGAAAAATTGAACGCCCATGAGAGAGGGAGAGTGCAAGAGGAAGATGAAGTGGTTATGTATTTCTATTTTTGGTAGGAAAACTGAGGGTTGATTTAGAGCATTCCATTGTTTTGTAATTCTCAAAAAATAAAAAAAAGGATATATGAAGACAGAGGTTTTCTGGTTAGTAATTGCGTCCATTTGAGGTCTGTGCTGACAAGGGTTTTTTACCATGAGGATGAATAACCTGGGAAGTTCAAGCTATTTTATGAAATACCAATACATGTTCTGTCTATGTCTGTTTCATTCCTTACATCATTATGAATGATCACCCTTAAATTTCTTGAATTTTTTAAATGAACATGGGTGGGGAAATGATCTTACTCTTTTGTGTCGGAGGGGCTACTCACTTGAAACTTTCCGAAAAGGTGTATAGAGAAATAATTGTCATTTTGGGCTTGTATCTTTTTTTTTTTGAAGAATAAAGAGGAAAAATCATAAATAAAAGAAAGAAGTACAAAAGAAAGGTGATAAGATATCCCCTGAGAGAGAGACACAAACAGTGGACTCACCAAACAAATTCAGCAACCACCAAATACATCAAGATTACAATATGACTCAACAAGCAAACAGCCACAACAAACTAGACTCAGCCGAAGACCAAAAGGAGTCCCTTGATCTTCTTCCACGAACATGTCCACCTGGCTTATATCATCCTCATCCCAAATCTCTCTTCCTTCCCCAGAAACTCTTTTATTTAACTTTTCTTTTTTTTTTGATGGATAACTTTTCTTATCTCCTTTTGAATTCCTCAAAAGCCCTCCTAGCACACTCCTCACCACCCCAAAAAACAGACCAAGACTTTTTCCAACCATGACATCTCTCTCCACTGTTTTCTGAAGAGGCACAACTTGGTTCTTTTCTTCATTTCTTTGCACCTTCACATTCCCATCAGAATCAGAACGTTCAATACTCTCCTTCTTGTCTTGATGCACCTTACCCAAATGAGGGTCCAATGATTGAACTTGTATCGTCACCCCATTGTGGCTAGAGACTGATGAAGAATTGCCTTTTGAATCTTTTCTTTTGTAAACCCATTTATAACTTTTTGTAGGTCCTGCCCCCTGCCAGACCAAGCTTCAAATGAGAGAATATTTTAGTCACATGAACAACATGAGGATTTCTTGAACCACATGCTTTCTTGCTGATTTCCCCAATAAATGACTCCACATTCTTCTCATCAACCTTTCTCTTCCGAGCCAAATCGGTGCCCAACCTTCCAGCCTTCACCTCTTCAAAACACAAGTTGTTACAGTTATGGCTCTCGTCCTAGCAACCATCGTTGTCGCCTGTAACAATCCTCAATCCTATTGCCTCATCTCCAAGCTCATTTTCAGCATCAACAGAGACACTTTCTACTGCGGTCTCCTCTTCCCCCTCTCTCCAACCTTTTCAACTTGGCTAAAAGATCCTCCCCTGAATCATAAGAATCAGACTTGTCTGAAGCATACCCTTTTTCCTGAGGCATTGCTGCATTTTCCTCAACAAGAACAGGAGCATCAAAAACCACCATGGAATCTCCAACATCTTTATAACTGGGGCTTGAAGCACCAGCAACAGGAGGACAATGATCAGCATGCTCCACTCCAGCTGTAGAGAAGGACAAGGGGGATAAAGCGAAGATTAAGAGTCTGGTTGGTAGGGAGGTTAAAATTGGGAAGAGCTTAGGTTTTTTTTTTTTTTTTTTTTTTTCTGGGGAAGTGAGGAGTTTGCTAGAAGAGCTTTTGAAATTTTTGAAAACAAAGCAAAAAGGAAGAGATCATGAAGAAGAAGTTGGTGAGGGAAGGAGGTAAGATCTGGGATGAGGACGGTGATTGTTATGATGAGACATTTGAAGCTGAAGACTAGGTGCTTTTGCAGTGTTGGGGGGTTTCCATCATGTTTGGTCATGTCTTTGTTGTCCTTTTGTAGCTGGTTTTGGGTGTTATTTTAGCACCCATGTTTGGTAGTAATCAGTTTTTCTTTTTTATCAATAAAATTTTATTCTTATGGATAGATCTAAGTGGAAACCTTGGAGAGGAGGTTTGGGGAAATTGAAGTTAAGGAAGCCATTTTCTCTATGGATAGATCTAAGTCTCCTGGGCCTGATGGTTTCACTAAGGCCTTCTATCAAGATTGCTGGGAGATAATTAAGAATGATTTGATGAAAGTGTTCAGGGAATTCCATAGAAGGGGAGTAATTAGTCCAGGGATGAACTCAACTTTCTTAGTTTTGATCCAAAGAAGCAAGGTGCCACCCAGCCAGGAGACTTCAGACCTATAAGCTTAGTGACTAATTACCAAGGTCCTTTCTTTGAGGCTTAAAAAAGTGCTCCCCTCTCTCATCTCCCAATACTAAGGGGCCTTCGTCCAAGATGGACAAATTATTGATCAAATTCTAATTGCAAGTGAGTGTGTGGAGGCTCAAAAAAGGTTAAAGAGGGAGTAGCAATTAAGTTGGACCTGGAGAAAGCCTATGATCTTGTGGATTGGGAATTTTGATCACTATAATGAGAAGGAGTGGTTTTGGAGACTTATGGTGTAAGTGGATCAAAGAATGCATGCAAACAAGTCACTATTTAGTTCTAGTGAATGGCATTGCAGTTGATTTCATTGAAGGGACTAGAGGCCTTAGACAAGGAGATCCACTTTCTCCCTTCTTTGTACTTTGGTAGCTGAGCTCTTGGCTAAACTGATTTTAAAGGCTAACTCTATGCAATTGATCAAAGGCTGGTCAATCAGGAGAGATAGAGTTCTGGTTTCACATTTGCAGTTTGCAGATGATACCCTGATTTTCTGTGAAGGGGATACCAGTGAAGATGTGGAAAATCTGAAATTAGTTGTGAACTTGTTTGAAAGAATCTCCAACTTGAGAATCAACTGGTCTAAGAGTCTAGTGGCTGGCATCAATTTGGAAGGGAGTGAGTTGAGAGATTTGGCTGCACTGTTGGGTTGTGAGACTAGAGATTGGCCTTTGTGTTATCTGGGAGTGCCCCTTGGTGGAAACCCTCGTTCGGTCAGTTTTTGGAACCCCTTGGAAGGCTACCTTGTGCACCTTGGAAGGCTGTCCATGATATTCTTCCTTTCTTTCTTCCCCATATATGGTATGACTTAGCTTTGGGTCAGAAAATCAGATTCTGGGAGGACATCTGGGTTGGGGACTCCCCCTTGTCAGAGGTCTTCCCTTCCCTCTTTGCTCTTTCCGGACTCAAGGGTAAACCTATTAGTGATTTTATCAGCTTTTCCTATTCCTCTTCAAACTTGAGCTGGAATTTGGGTTTTACTAGAAATCTAAGGGAATCTGAAATTTCTAATGTCTCTACCTTGGTTGACTTGTTGAATTCAGTAGTTTTGGGGATTCTAGAGTTTGGGTCCTCAATCAGNAGGGAATCTGAAATTTCTAATGTCTCTACCTTGGTTGACTTGTTGAATTCAGTAGTTTTGGGGATTCTAGAGTTTGGGTCCTCAATCAGTTAGGTTCTTTTTCTTGCAAAATCTTCTTGAACTCTCTTGTTACCACTTCATCCTCTCCTTCTTTTCCTATTAAGGTGATAGTAGTCGAACAAGACTATAATCTGTCCTAGGTTTAATGAGAAAAACAAATAAAGGTTGAAGAGAAGAAGAAGAGAAGAGAAGAGAAGAAGAGGAGAGGAGAGGAGAGGAGAGGAGAGGAGAACTCAAAGAGAGAATTCAGAAAAGAGAGAGAGACTGACTTGCAATAGCCGCCCCACTCTTATAATTTATTTTTATATTCGAATAACTAGAAAAGGGCTGAATTACCCTTATTGCTTACTGTTATGATTCGGCCTGCCTTGGAGTTCTATTTGTCTGAGATCGGTTATGTAGAAAGAGGTAGAAAGGTGGAAGAAAGAGAGAAAGAGAGAAAGGAGAAAAGCTGGTTCGAACTGGTAGTCAAAAGAACACGACTCCCAGTGGGCCAGGCAGTACTTTTATTATTAAAAATAATTGAAAAGACATATGTGCCCTTGTTTAAGTAAGGAGCACTGGTTCTCACACAACATTACAGATCAGCAACATTAATCTAGGTATAAAGACAGAAATACCCCTACGCTAACACTCCCCCTCAAGCTGGGAGTATATATCATATACTCCCAGCTTGTTACATATGTAGTCCACTCTTCCCCGACTCAAGCCTTTTGTAAATAAGTCAGCCCACTAGTTTCCTGTATTAACATATGCAGTGTCTAGCTCTCCATTCAGCACCTTCTCCCTCACGAAGTGACAGTCAACTTCAATGTGCTTGGTTCTTTCATGAAACACCGGATTAGAGGAAATATGAACTGCAACCTGATTGTCACAATGGAGCTTCATTGGAGTGTTGATGTTGTACCCTACTTCCTGTAGAAGGTTCCTTAGCCACACTAATTCACAAG